CTTATCCCTTCTTCAACTTGAAGATGGGTGGCCAACTCGGACAAAGACATGTCCTCTTTCTTGTGTTTAAGCTCATGCTTAACACTTTTCCAACTAGCAGGCAACTTGTCAATTATACTTGAAACTACAAACAATTCATCCATAGAAATACCATGTTGTTTCAAGTTCCCATAGATTCGTTGTAATTCATGAAATTGGTCCATTATGGACCGACCATCAACAAACTTAAAATTATTGAAATTACTTACTAAAAACTTCTTACTTGAAGCATCTTCAGCCATATATTTGCCTTCTAAGGACTCCCAAAGCTCCTTAGCCGACTCCACATTTTGATACACATCAAAAAGATCATCTTCCATACCATTCAAAATATGACCACGACAAATAAAGTCATCGTTGTCCCATTTTGACATTTCCCGAACATTTTCCAAGGATTCTTTCTCATGTTCACTAGGCCTTGGAGTACTAATAACATAGGCTACTTTCAAAGATGTAAGAAGAAAGTACATCTTCTTCTTCCATCTCCGAAACTCCACACCGTCAAACTTCTTGAGTTTGACAAAGTTTGTGGTCAATTCTTTCACACTAGACATGCTTGATTACTTCTAAATTTAAACTCTTTAGATTGTTAGGTTTTCAAGTAATTTTAGAACAAGAACTACTTTAACAAGTGTGGGAACAAAACCTAAAACATGTATAATTAATATTCAATTATACAATTATCCAAATACAATTCAATGTATTACAACCAAACACCAAAAAATCAAAGTATTTCAGAAATTACAATGAAAAACACTAGTGTGAAAGATAATGTACTTGCCTCTACTCTAAGCTTTAGCAATCTACATGAACATGAGAAATAGGTGACCACTTGAGTCTAATTCCTTGATACTCTGTCTTAGGCGTATGAATACTTTCCTAAAGAGTTTAATTTCCCCCACAACGGTGCTTGGGTTTAATCCGGAAATACTCTTTGAGATACAAAAGACAGCCCAATGTTCTTAGCACTAAGAATCAATGAAAGATGAACAATTCACAAGAAAGGATTAATTGTAAGAGATTTCTCACAAAAGTTTGCAAGAAGTTTGTGAGGAATTGTGAAGAATTCTTTTTGAGAGAGAAGCAGAATAATTCTGTATATCTCGAATCTCTTCATTAAGCCTTTTATTAAAGACTTAATAACCGTCAGAATTTCGCGAAATCAGGACTGGTGCGGGCGCTCCACCAGGAGGCGCGGGCGCGCCCCAAAGTGGCGCAGGCGCTCCTAATCAGGAGCGGGCGCGCCTCTCCTGTACTTCCGAAATTCAACAAAGGAGGCAGAAGGGGGCGCGGTTTAGGCGCGACCCAAGCGCGGGCGCGCCACTTGGACGCGCGGGCGCGCCAAATGACGCGCGGGCGCGCCAACTTTCTCCTTTCAAACGTTCAGATTCCAGTGAGGTCCGCGGTTTAGGCGCGACCTCGGCGCGGCCGCGCTTACCCAGCGCGGGCGCTACTCATGGTTCACGAGCGCGCAACCATCAACACTCTAAATCTTCCAACAACTTGCACGCTTGGGTGTGACCCGTTGGGTTCAATTAAAGGAAAGCTGTGAGATTAATATAATTAATCTCACTGATTGGAGATGGCCTCTAACCCGACTTTCCAATCACTCGACTTTACTACATAATTAACTTTGTAATTGATTCTAAACCCTCTATCGCAATAATACACTTGTTGGAAGAACATCATTCCTTTCAAAATCTAATTTTTGGGTTTTTTTTTATGGTGTTATAATAAAAGTTTGAGATTTTGTGGTGTTATAATCCAATTTTTGTGAAATTTGTGGTGTTAATTTCTAATTTTCCCAATATTTTATAATAATCACTTCTCATATTTCATTATCTTCTTTATCTAATCCAAATTATTTTTTCAAAAAAAAAAATCAATTGAAAGTGAATTTCTTTTTAAGTTTAATACTATTTATATATATATATATACAAAATAAAATAAATTGTTTCTTTTCTCTTAGATAAAATTTTTAATTTTAAAAGATAATATTTTTTTTATAATAAATTTAAACCTGTAATTTTAATCCTATGTGACGCTTTAAAATAATAATCCTAAGCATAATCTTATACGGAACGCTCTAATACTAATCCTACATGGCGCTCTAATAATTTTTAAAAAATTAAAATCCTACGTGGCTCTCTAAAATCTTGAGAAAAAACTCCCCTTTATATATATACACTAGTTTTGTGCCCGGGCGATACCCAGATTGTTGATAAAATGTTTTGGTTTGAATGTTAAATAAATACGGTTATATAATCCCTTTTGATAATGCTAGATATTTAGACATACAATATCATATCGCTATTTATATAATAATTGTACTTTTTGTAGTTTTGTTTGTAAATCGATATCTATGATATTATAGACTTAAAATTATTTTTTATTGAACTTAGATTATTTTTACTGAATTGAAAGTATTTAATTTTTACCAAAATAAAATTATTTTTACTGATTAAAACTCATTTTTATTGATTCATTATTATTTTTAAAAATAAATTAAATATATTATAAATGGATCTTATTTTAAAGAACTTTTTAAAACAAATTTTATGATGGAATTAGAACCGAGTTATAGGATATTTATTAAAAGTTATGATTAATTTTGTATATGTGAAATATTAGAAGTATATCAGTAATAAAACTCTATACAACATTTTTATCTTAAAAAATCTATCCAAAATTCTCTTCCTTACCATCATATGTGTCACTATAATATCTATTTATGGCCTATATATGGGGCTCGACAGTTGGAGAAAAACTAAAATGCCAAGTGTCGCTGTCTCGTGGCTTGGCTGCGAAAAATCGGCTTTATTTATTAGTGATATGATATAATATTATATTGTAATAAATCATAAATGGATGAAAATAAAAAGTGTTGTGATTAATCAAAAAATGGAGAATACGAAACAAATTTGCTATTAATTTAATCTACTTTGTCCTAATTATTGCTTTTAAAATAGATAATTATCAATAAGTTTTTTTTTTTTTTTTTTTGACAAGTAGAACTAAGAAAGAACAAACCAAACCAAAACAAACCAAACAGTTAAAAAGACCAAAAAAGAAAATGACGTTGACGACTTCGAACAGCTAGACAATGAGCAGGGGCATTCCACTGACGAGGAACCTTGCGAATCCTACAAGCAGGAAAATCATGAAGAGTCTGGCGAATATCCCCTAGCAACCAAAGGCAAGAAATGTCCGCCGACAAGAAGCACACAACAACGAAATTAACATAGCATAGGCTGTATAAATGGACACCGAAGAGAATCCTTTCCGCAAAGCCGATCGAAGACCCCACAAGCAAGCCTACAGTTCTGCCTAAAGGGCGGAAGAAGCCCGAGTAGCACGAGAACCACCGCCCAAGACTACATCAGAATACAAATCCCAAAGGATCCAACTGGTACCTGCACTACCATCTTCACCATCCCATGCACCACCGAAAACCACACAGGCAGATAAGAAGTCGATATCATTACCCTGTGAACAAGTAAAAATCGTAAGCCTGAAACGACTAGGACGGTGGGTGCAAGAAGGAGAAGGCCGCCGGGGAAAGGAATCAAATTGTTTGAGGCGTTGGAACCACTCGTCAGCAATATGGAAAATGGCTATTGAGACCACACTGCTTGCCTAAAAACATAGTGATTCCTGGAAATCCACACAGCCCATAGCAGAGAAAGAAAAGGAGAAAAGACCATCCTAATTCTTAGATCCAATGTAATCAGAGACCTGATTTGCAAACCAAAACTCAAATCGAGGTGTAGGAAAGGGAGAGGGGCCAAAGTCCGAAAGACCAGTAACCAGGAGTTGACGAACAAAGGAGCAATCTTGAAACAAATGAGCAGTGGATTCCGGATGCTGACGACAGAAAACACACAATGAATCAACGGGAATACCTCGTTGACTGAGAATAGCAAACAGAGAAGGGCATTATGAAGAATCTTCTAACAGAAAACTTTCAACCTTGGCAAGAGGCCCCAAAGCCGCTTCCACCAAGAATCCAAAACTGGATGACTGACCATAGGGGAAACTAAACGCCAAACCGGCATCGCATAAACCGACTTGGTGGAAAATTGGTCATCCCGAATAGATTTCCAGTACACAAAATCATCCATAGGACGAAGAGGCCGCTCAGCAGAAAGAATTCGAGTTGATGTAGCGTTATCAAAGTATCAATGAACCAAAGAAGGTTCCCACGCGTAAGAACGCGAATAAATGATAGAAGAAATATGAGACGGAAGATCCGACTCAACCAAACCATCCCTGAACTGCACCGGCCCGACGGCCCCCCCGCGGCCCAGTCGTCGTCAACTAGATGAACAGACGACCCATTGCCGACCTTCCAAGCTAGCCCCTGGCGCAAAGTAGACATGCCTTCCAACAAGCCTCGACAACCCCAAGAAGGCCGCGGAATACGACCAAGAGCGAAAGCAGTCAGCGAAGGGTACTTAGCCTGTAGGACTTGAGTAACAATTATCGAAGTTGTTACTCAAAGAAGAAACGCGCTTCATCTCTATTTCTGTATTTACGCAAATAAAGGAGTATCCAATATAAATAGTTGATGAAAAATAAAATGGGGAGTTCGATTTTGAGGTGGATTTAGTACATAAGGGAATCTAACATCCGACAATGATCCAAAAATCATTCACCTGATCCAAATTAACACAAATTTCGACATATTTATATTTCAGTGGGCTGATTTAAAATGCAAATAAGATCCAGTGGGCATATAAATATACTTCGTACACAGGGTGATTAGACAACAGTCCACTCAAATTATTTATTATAGATTAATACTGTAATAATTTTTTTCAAAACATTTCCTCGTTTACTCTGTAAGCCTAAAATTAGCCAAACATCAGTCGATAAATTTTCCCATTTAAAAGGCCACTTTTACAGATTGTTCACATGACATGTTTTTACCCAAGAATAAAAAAGGGGGGATCAACAAAAAATTTTACTGCAACCTCACCACTTCTTTTCACAAGCTCAACGAGTAAATTACAGTGTAACTTTACATGGAAGGTTGACTAAAAAAATGCTTCCAAAATACAAACCTGATAACTTGTAAACATACATGGCTGTAAAATTACAGGCTTTCGGTTTTTATGTCCCGTGTTGATTAATGGTTAGAGGTTTCCATCCAAAAGGAGAGGCCGAACTGAGGAATTTGAAAGTTGAGGGACTAACTGCCAGTCTGCCACACTGGGCAAAGTTTAGGGATCTCCAGTGTTGTAAACTCACCAAAAAAACGAAAAACAAAAATGTGTCGCACGCACAATGTTAACTGTGCATATGCCTCTACCATCTAATTTGCAGCTTGAAAAGACCTTGAATCGTCATCTCACAGAAGCCATCATTCTCCAGTCATGCTTCTTCCGGCGGCCTCTGTGATGGGCTTTCTGCTCTGAGAAAGTGTTTTCCCCAACCATTTCCAAATTAGTACCTATATCAACATTATCAAGAGAGTATAATTAGCAATGCCACAATTATTTCTATAATCCACTAAAGCAATTGAACCATTGTTCCTTCGATCTCCCAACCTATCAATCAATGTGTATTTGGATGTTTCTAATGGACAATCTTACTGAAGATGCTAAGCCTATCAATTACAGTCGATTTTCTATCCAACAACAAATCTCATAATTTCAGGAAACAGCTGCAGACGGTAGTAAGCTAAACAAGCTTTGATCAATATTTGCTGAAAGTCTGAAACTATCCATAACAAAAAGGCACAAGTATAAAGGAAAAACTACGTTGAAACTGTCAACACTGCCAGTCAATTATCCATCCATCAGAAACTGGTAGAACCACGAATTACTGACAATGATGAAAGACACCACACAATCTCTATATGATCCATGAACAGCCAATCCAACTTTCTAACTTCATTTTCTATGATTCCCATACAATGCTAAGCTTTGAAGTATACAATACTTTGTGATACATTCTGAGTCATCTTCAGTTTAAAATCAATGAAGTTTTATCTCTTAATTTTGGATTACATTTTACTTAAAAGTCACCAAGGAAAACGGTGATCTCCACAACTGAGTATAACCAAGAACCTTTTTACATTCTAAACCTCTTCCAAGGTGGTACTGACCCTCATAAACTGTTTTGTGTTGCAAGTCGCACTATATAAAGAATTTTATAAAAAATTTTAAAAATCATATACTGCAATGTTGAAAAAGGGAAGGAAAAAAGAAACATTAGGCAGGTGTTGGTAACTATAACAACTAAGTGGTCAAACTGATCCTCCAATTCCTCTCCTCCAATGTTATCCACAAAAGAAGTATTCTAACCCATTTGAGTAAAAGAACGTGGCACTGCAAGCCAGAAATTACAATAGTAATGTTTTTGCACTAACTGCTCTGAACTATTGATATCTCTTCTGTAGTATATTAGCACATGTAGAGCAGATCATTCTTGTGAGGCAAAGGTCTTGAATATTGACACCATAAAACTACAACAAGAATACAAGATTACTATAATTATGTCTAATGAATACGGTATTAGAGTCAGACAGCTGAAGAGCAAGCATTGATTGAGCAACTGTAGATCATATCAAAGGCCTGTAGTAAAAGCTAACACCTAGGCATCTTGCTATGAAAAGCATTTAAGAAACTAGTCTATTCTTCCTTTACTACCACAGCAAAAAATGAGTTTCCATTTACAAAAATTATACAACTCTTTTGTTGATCAATGCTCTTACATATAAGAGCCTAAGAAGCTCCTGATGATGGATACTGAAGTAAGAGCCAAAGCTAGATAAGGACTTTCAGAATGTGTGACCGCTTACTCAGCATGACAAATTGGATGCTTGTTCCTACAGGTGACTTACTTAGACCTGCTCCTCACTAGAATATCCAAAATTGGCAGAGGACAAGAGCAGTTGCAATAAAAAGAGACAAAGGACCTGGGTAATGGTCCAATCCAAATTACACACACTTAAAGGAAGGGGGAAAAAAAGAAGTAAGAATATAGGGATAGAACACGTGCAACTAGCAACTAAAGTCGCTTTCTCTGAAGTTCTAAAGCATCATCATGGTATGATAGTTCAATTCTTCTTTTGAAAAAGGAAAACTTCCACAGCATAAAATCTAAAAAGATTCCCACTACACATTAAATACTAGCCACATATTCTCCTTCACTTTAAGTTTCTCACTAGATTGCTTTCAAGTTTCAACCTAATAAAGTAGTCACTGCTTCCTACAGCACTCACCATCTAAATTGCAGCATATCAAGTCATGTACTGAGTTTACTACTTTTGCTTTTAGTGATTTAGGTTTTGTGTGTGTGTTTTGTTTTGCCTTTTTTTTTTTTTAATATAGATCATATAAACCAATCTATCAAATACTAGGTCTCCAGACACTCCCAAATATATTCATTCCGTTCTCTATTCCTTTGCCTTATACTCACCTAACATCCTCGATATTTATTTTCACCCTCATCCATAAGCAATATATATTAATTTAGAAGCTCCAAAGCCACTATACATTCACCGGTGTATAAAAATGCTATTTTCTTTTTTCTCTGCATGCTCATACACCTTCGTTTCCTTCACATGCCTCTCCCCTTACTTTCTAAATCCCACTGCACTCCAACTTCACAGCACTTAGCTTAGAGTTGCTGACAGTGTAGGACATAGATATGGCCATATGGCCACACAAAATGGGAATGAACAGTTGTAAAATTTTGAAACTTTAAAATATGTACAAGTATATGTGTATTTGAGCCAAATTGTGCTATCTAGAAAGCACTCCTCCCACCAGCATACACACACAAAAAGCAATTTTTCTCTCTATCTTAATCTTTTAAGACTTTTCCTACTTGACTTGCTCACCACCAACCACATGCATCAGCTGCAGGTGGATTCAGGTGCTATGAGGATAATTAATGGTTTCAATACCTCAAAAAGTTTCCAGTTCTCGTGGTATTACTAATTGTGAAAAACAATGGCAAGTAAATTCATGTAGTCTTTCTTGTTTGGAGAAAAAACCCTTCACAAATCAATACACAATCTCTAAATCGTGGTTTTCATTTGTTATCCTGTGGCATATAATCTGAATACTGTACCTCCCACATCTTAACCCACAGCCAACCATCAATGCATTCTTTCTGTTCAATCAGTAGGCACATAATTCAACAGGCGTTACCTGGTTAGCTAAATAATTGCAACCAGCTCCTATTCACTCATATGGAGTGTATGGACACATTCAATTGACTGGAGCTGAACTCCTATATTCTACTCTTGTATTATCAACCTTCTATATAGAGTCAACATCTTCACCAACATGTTTTAAGCTATACTTTCAAAGTAAATCAAACGAACACGATCAGTCTATTGTCAATAGTCTACAATACTCCATTGGGTTAATGCAACGAAGACAAGTAGTATTGTCAATATTCTACAAGTTGAAATTTCTGAAGTTTTGCATGAACTTTTCGCAATCAATCTATGGAAATAAAACAAGAGACAAACTATTACGAAGTAGTACATACATTGGGTTAATGCAACGAAGACAAGGGAGTATTGTCAATATTCTACAAGTTGAAATTTCTGAAGTTTTGCATGAACTTTCCACATACAGTCTATGGAAATAAAACAGGTCAAGCACAAACAAGAGACAAACTATTACGAAGTACATACATTTACACTCACGCAACTAAACACACAAAACAGTTAAGACTTGATAATGCACAACTGCACAACAAACACAATAGAACCAATGAAACTGAATCATTGCATATAGCATACTGTATATCCTAACTGAAGTCTACAAGAAATTTCATAAGCCAAAAGACCGAAGAATGAATGAAATGACCAATATCCAAATCCAAAAACAAGTAAAAGATAGTTAAACTATGTACCTCCAAATCTTTCACCCCATAACAACAATCTGGTATCCTCTTCCTCATCATCAATCTCATCACCATACCCAAACTCCGCATCGCCACGATACCCGGGTTCACTCCCGTACCCGGATTCGCTCCCCTGCGCATCAAACCCGAACCCCAAATTCGAACCTTCCCTCTCCCCAACCCCATTCCCCCTATCTCTCTCCCTCTCCCTTTCTCTCCTAGCTTCACTCACATCAGAAGCCCAACCATTTGCATTCCCACTAGCTCCACCATTCACAAACAACTCCCCACTCGAATCGGTCCCGCCTGCCGCCACCATAAAATCCGAGCAAGTAGCTGTCGCCGTTGCCCCAACTGAGCAGCCCCTGCCATTTCGGGTCCCACTACGATCACTGCTCCTCCCAGAAACCGACCGTGACCCCCCTCGACGACGTCGTTTCTTTGCCATCCACCGAAACTTATCCTTCCTACTGTTATAGTTACGGGATTTATCACCGCCATCGTCGAAAAGACTGAGCTTGGAGAAATCAATGGAGTCAATCGAAAGAGAAAACAAAGAAGTAGCTCGATCTGCTAAACAAGGACGTTTGGGATGAAGCCCAGATGTTTTTTTATGATTAGGGTTTGAATTTAAATTGGAATTGGTTGAAATGTATGAATCGGAATCTAGGATTTTGGAATTGGAATTGAGATTGGAATTAGGGTTTGTGTAATTGTTGAAGGGTTTCCATGTATGAAGTTGCAATAAGCATGAATCAATCGAATTACGAGATGTTAGGGATTTAGGTGACATAATTTACAGAAATTATCCAGAATTTGGTGAAGAAATTAAATTACAATTGGGGGTCAAAAGGGGCTGAATTTGAAGAAGTTAGAGAAAATAATTGGTGGGAATTGTGAAGAGAGTTTACAAGCAGTAGCAATAAAAGTTGCAGAAGATTGAGGTTGAAGATGAAAGTGATGGTGATGGATAGATTCTAGAATAGAATACAAGTACAAGAATTGACATATACGAAGTACTTTCGAAGAAGCTGGAGAATGGTGTACAAAATACAATAAATATCGTATTCCCTCCGTTTTTTTCAATACTGTATTATCAGACGATCTTTAATGGTGCGACTTAATTTTGAGTATTAAAATACAAAATTAGTTGTTTTTCACACCCAATGTTGATATCCAACCCACTTTTCAATTTAACGACTCATGTAATACGTAGTATATAATTTTTCAATGGTGAAATTCTCTTATACAAGTACTCCGTATATACTAATGTCATTTTCCAATATGACCCACTACATCCAATTAAATAAATAATTTTAAGTTTTTACAAAAAACATTTAAAGTTAAATAAATAAATAAACCAATATAAAATTGATAAGGGTCCACTTATTTTTGTCAATTGAGACTCAAAGTTGAGTATCTAAACTTAGCAATTTTCTTTTGGAGTATCTAAGTTTAGATACCAATTTATTAATATCCTTTACAAAAAATACTCTATCTCCTAAAAAAACTTTAATGAGTCTCACCATTGGAGATGGTCTCATATTCCCTCCGGGCTTTTCTAGTGCATTACTTTTGTGAATTGATCATTATCATTAAATGCATCATTTCTTTGAATAAATCAAAAGTTTTACCTTCCTAAAGAAAAAAAAAAAATTCCAAAACCTAAATTACTAATAAATCTCGGTTTACATGTAATAAATGTCTCAATACAAGACCGAGGTGTTTTGGGTTTTTAAAATAATTTTGACCTCAATATTCACCCTTAACAGCCAAAATGACCCTCCAAAGTCTTTACCAAACAATTTTCTTAGCTTGTAAAATAGCGACTCACAAACCCAAGTGTTTCTTGACACGTAGTGTCGTAACCAAGTCATTAATGGTAAGTATTTTTTACTTACCTCAAATTTGATTCTTAAGGGTTAAAATGACCCCTAAAATCTTAATTGATCAACTTTTCCACATACAAACCACAACACGCAAGCTGAGGATTAATTGGCACGCAAAACATAATATTTCTGGATTATTTTTTGCCAATTATGACCTCAAATTGGGCCCTTTAAAAATAAATAATCTCAAAACCTTAATCAATCAATTTTCCTTGACATGCTAATCAAGAAAAAAAAAAAAAAAATTAAAGCGACAATGTCATTGAGTGGCCCCACAAACGATTTCCACGGACATAAACTATTAGTGGTGAAATTAAACAAATAATAAATTCTAAGTAATAATAAAACACAAAAGATGGGTATTTTTAAAGGGAAATTACTGGCTGATCTTCATGGTCAACATAATTTGTCAATCATAGGGGGGGATGGTGTCTTTTCATTCATTAAGTCAAGGATAGTAATGTCATGGGACATGTATTGATGTGTTCATAGTGGCAGCTATGCACTATTGTGGTAGTTATCGTTTGATAGCGTTAACAACAAAGTAAAACGTCTATTAGGGGCAAAGCCCCAAAATCCAAAATCACTCCTCTCTCCTCTTTCTCAAGTCTCAACAGTGGCGGGTGCGTAGTGTTAGGTTTTACAGCAATTCAACAAAATAAGAATTACTTAAAGATGGTGGAACAAAACCTAAACAGTGTATAAATCCAAACAAATTATACAACAACCAAATACTAATTAAAGTATTACAAACCAAGCACTAAATAAACAATGTAATTCAGAAATTACAAAAATAAAACACTAATGTGAAAGATTCTACACTTGCCTCACTCCAAGCCAATGAATCCACCAAGAACATGAGAATACCAAGGACCACGTGAGTCTTCAATACCGGATACTTGTCTAAGGCATGTAAACACTTTCCTAAAGTGATTATTTCCCCCACCACGGTGCTTGGGTTGAAACTGGAAAGTCACTTTGAGATACAATAGACAAACACTACAATCTTTGCACTAAGAATTGTAGTAAGATGATCAAATTCTCAAAATTAACTTAATTGATAGAGGATTTCTAGAAGAGATTGCAAGTTTCTTAGAGAAATTGTGAAGAATAGAGAATAATAGACAATAAAAATCAGAGAGAGCAAAAAACCCGAATCCCCTTCATTCTTTTAATTTCGCAATTAAAAGAACAAACGAATCCGCAACTGCCAGGGCCGCGGGCGCGGCATCCTGTGTAATACCCCTAATTTTTGGATATACTTTCTTAATAACTTAATAATTTCTTCAATTTGGAGACAAAATAAATTTTAAATTTTGGCGACAAAAATCTTTTTAACAAATTAAATATTTTCATATTTCTAAATTAAATGATAATCTTGGTCGATCCACATTTTTTTACTAATTAATAATGTACGTCGTTTTGAACTAAATTATATTATTTTCTGATTTTTATCTTAATAATAATTAATAATCTTAGCCTAATTATCTTATGATTTACAACTAATTTAGATTTTTAATATTATCTAAAATATTTTAAGGATAAACTTGATTTAATTATCATTTTCCTAACTAATAATTAATTTCCGTTGGTTTAAAAAAAAAAAATGTTTGCCGTATGTTTTGGGATGGAATTCCCAACTTTCAAGATTTCTTTGATTTCATCCTTACTCCTCCAACCAAACCAATGATAATCTTATTTTCTTCTCATCTTTTTCACTTGATCCTTTTCACATAAATTAACTTAGGCCAAATTACATCCAAATTCATCTAAAGAACCCAAATTTATCTTGTTTGCATACCAATCCTACACTCTCTTGAACTTTATCTTTTTCACCCTTATTCACCTATAAATAGACCCTTAATCCCCTTCATTCATTCACACCAAAATCAGAAAAAAAATCCTCTTCTCAACCTTCAATCCCACGCCATCCTCTTCCTCTATTTTCTTCTTGTTTGCTCAAACAAACACCGTACCGCAACTACACTACCGATTGTTGGCACCCAAACAACCACCACTACTACCATCTACTTGCCACCATACACCACCTGCTGTCACTGCCGGCCACCTGCTGCACTATCCTTGCAGCCAGCCGCCCCGTAAGCTGCTGCCAGAAGGTCCTACCTTCCTTCACCTTGCCGTACTTGGTTGAACAACAAAACAAAGAAAAACTCCACTTAGTAGTACTACTATTTTAACCTTAAACTTTTCTTTTCCTCCTCCACTCTTATCAATGATGCTATAATTAATTATACTAATTGTAGTACTAACACCACTATTATGATACTAAAATTTTATTTTTGATACTTAAATATACAATTTGCTACAAACAAAACTTGGTTTTATAAAGGTTAATGTTAGGTGGTTCATGCACTAGTAGAGTATTAATTATAGTTTGGGTTTATTTTATTAACCTTATATTAATTAAGGTTATTTTAATTGTGTAGGAGGATTCCATTGATCGTGGTCAAGTGTAGTAGTCGTACCATAATTCGTTCTTGTGATCAAGGTACGTATAGGTGGCTAGGTCCTTGATACAAGTTTTGAATGCGTGTTTTGGTGAATGTTTATAGTTGTTTAAATATTGCGTATGAAAGATTTGTTTAATGATTTTCATAATGTGTTAAAAATAAAATTTTACGACTTAAAAGTTTGATCTTAAAAGTGTTGTTTAATTTAATAAAAAATTGTTTATAAATCACTTGATTACATGTTATTAAATTAAAGAAACTAATTTAAGATTTGCGGCTCATTATGAGCCTGAGTATTGATTACATATTATTTAATTAAAGAGATTTATTTAAAATTTGCAGCTCATTATGGGCCTGAGTATTTAGTATTTTATTGTCGCTCTACCCGGGACTGGTTAAGTAAGACCATGAGCTTTGTATGATCTGGTCTTTCCTCAAGTACAGTTTAACTTGCTTGGGGGGTGTGCACACTTAGGTGAGGAAAATTGATTTTGGAACTTTGTCTGAAATTAGAATTCTATTGATTTGGGAAGTTTTTATTAATGGACGTTACTACTTTTGGAAGACTTAAATTTGGAAAGTCTAATTTTGGAAAAGTGACTTTTGGCAAGTTTGAGTTGGAATAATTATTTCGAAAGCATGTCTGTCTAATAAAAGCATTTATATGCCTTGCACTTATACGTACTTAGCGTTTTTGCTAACCCGTTTTCCTTTTTGTTTTGGTTCGCCCTATTTACCATTATTGGTAAGCAGTTTTGATTTCAGGTGTGAAGTTGATCGTGCGCATACTTGAGTCGGGAGTGGGATCACTTAGTTAGGAGTTTATTCATTCATGAGTTAGACATGTATTATTTGGAGTAGTAATTATTTTTTTTTTCAAACCATATTATGAAGTTATTATATTATTAATAAAATCAGTTATTTTTCCGCTGTCATAATTAGTAGTTAAAAAGCCTTACGTTTTCACGTGGCGGTAATACGCCCAAGTCTACCTCTACGGTATTTTATACGTACAAATATAGTATTTACGTAGAGAGAGATTTGAGGGTGTTACATCTTGTACCGCGGGCGCGGTTGCCTGTGCCGCGGGAGCGGCGGCCATGTCACGGGCGCGGACAGGGTAACCCGCGAGCGCGGCTGCCCATGCCGCGGGCGCGGACAGGGTAAATTTCAATTCACCCTCAGATTCAGGAGATGGTTGGTCGCGCCCTTGCCGCGGGCGCGGCTTTCCGTGGCTTCCCAGCCGCGACCTCTCCTGAATCAGGAGTGGGCGCTCCCAACACACTCTAAATATCTAACAATCCTCCCCTATTTAGAGTGTGAATTTCAAAACTTTCTCCACTTCTATCAATTAAGTCACATCTTATGCATCAATGCCAATGTCCCTTCGGATTGAATTGACACCTAGTACAACACTCTTAACGATGATCATATCCCATGATTTCCATATGGATTGAATCACACGGATATATCCAACCATTTGAAGGTAAAGTACACACAAGACAAATCGAATTAATCATCACTTGACACTTTTAAACAGCCATGTGTCCGTATCTTTCATAAGTTCATCAAAGTTTATATGTCCATCTAGACTTCTTGAAGTGGCTAAACTTCGAACTTATATAGGTAGGTTCTCATATACGTAATAGTGCCCTTGTGACAAGACACCGTCATCTAGAGCTTCTCAACTCTAGAACTCTGAGAACTTTAAATTGATGCTACCTCTCACATCACAAGTAACATAGCAATATGGGTCATTAAACATTGCTAACAAACAACAAAAATGTAATTCAACCACATTGAATCAAAGACTTGATGTTTCTTCAAGCGTTAGATTGGGTTTCACAAATCGGTGTTCTTGGACATAAACCCATTCCATTCAAAGCAAATAAGATGGAATGTCTTGGCATTGTTTTAGTAAAGCAATCTACCAAATTCATTTTTGTAGGAACATAGTCAAGACTTATGACCTCATCATTGATAAGCTCTTTCACTAGGCTATGCCTAAGTGAAATATGCCGAGACTTACCATTATACACTTGACTATATGCCTTTATTAAATCCGAATTAGAATCACAATGGATTGCTACCAGTGACATTGGCTTAGACAATAAAGGCAACTCTAACATGAGATTTCTCAACCACTCAGCTTCCTTACTAGATGAGGCAAGAGCAATAAACTCCACTGCCATAGTGGAATCGGCAATGCAAGTTTGTTTCTTGGAAGACCATGAAATGACACCTCCCCCAAACATGAACACCCAACCACTTACAGAAGAGTCATCCTCTTTGTAAGTGATCCAGCTTGCATCAGAATATCCTTCTAAAACAGAAAGAAATCCACTATAAGACAAACCATAATCCAACTTACCCTTAAGGTACCTCAAGACCCTCCGAACTGCAAACCAATGCTGTGTACCCGGGTTACTAGTAAATCTACTAAGTTTTCCCACAGCCAATGCAATATCTGGTCTTGAACTTATCATGGAATACATCAAGGATCCAATCCAATTGGGAAATTGTTTTCCCCGATAACATTAGGTTCCATGGGGGTGTTCACAAGACACTTGTCAAACATATTAAACCGTTTGATCATCTTCTCAATGTAATGAGATTGACTTAGAATAAGTCTTCCATTGTCCCTAATGATCTTGATGCCCAAAATGACATCCGCCTCCTCCAAATCCTTCATCTGAAAAGATGAGGTTAAGAATTCCTTGGTCAATTCTACTTATTGTAGACTTGTACCAAAGATAAGCATATCATCAACATATAGACAAGTGATGACACCATGACCTTTGTCATCAAATTTGCTATATATACACTTATCAGCTTGATAAGCTTTGAATCCAAAGGACAAAATTGTGTCATCAAATTTCCGATGCCATTGCTTTGGTGCTTGTTTAAGTCCATACAATGACTTAACCAATTTACACACCTTATTTTCTTGTCCTTCCAAAACAAGCCCTTCGGGTTGTTTCATGTACACTTATTCCTCTAGATCTCCATAAAGGAATGCCGTTTTGACATCCATTTGATGAATCACTAGATTATACACCGAAGCCATTGCAATCAATAACCTTATTGAGGTAATTCTTGCAACAGGTGCATAGGTATCGAAATAATCAACACCATGCTTTTGCCTAAAGCCCTGGATAACCAATCTGGCTTTAAATTTCACTATGGAGCCATCCGGCCTCCTTTTCCTAGTGAAAATCCACTTGCAACCAAGAGGTAAATCCTCTGAGACCCAGGTATTATTTCCCATGATGGAATCCATCTTATCATTTATAGCTTCCTTCCAAAATGCACTATCTTGAGAAGATATGGCCTCGCTATAACTCTTTGGGTCACTATCCACATAAAAACAATATGGAGTAGTAGAACTAAGGACATCCCTAGAACCTTCAACTAAATAAATTATAAAGTCATCAAGAGGGTTCCTAGGTTTCCTTTGTCTCTTACTTCTTCTAACATGAGGAGTCTCATCCTCATTATTAGGAGAACATTCATGAGATTCAAGTTGATCATCAAAATCAACAATCTCCTTTCCTTCGGCACTAACCTGTAGATCCTTCGGCATCTCTTGACTCAATAACCGAATGGATCGATGTATAGTCATTTTGTTCTATTACATAGAACCTATAGGTTTTGCTATGCTCAACATAACCTATAAATATGCAATCCAAGCCCCTTTCACCGAGCTTTCTTTTCTTGTTGCCAGGCACTCTTACGATTGCCCTATAACCCCAAACCTTGAGATACTTCAAGTTTGGTTTTCTTTTTTACCAAAGTTCATAAGGAGTAGATTGTTTTCCCTTAGTGGGAACCCGGTTAAGAATGTGACAAGCTGTCAACATTGCTTCACCCCAGAACCCTTCACTCAAACTAGAGTAAGATAACATGGAATTAACCATTTCTTCAAGAGTTCTGTTTTTCCTTTCAACTACACCATTTGATTGTGGTGCATAACCAACTATAGTCTCATGTATTATACCCAAAGATTGGAAACAAGCAGGATCATAATTCTCTCCTCCCTTATTAGTTCTAATTCTCTTAATAAATGATTCTACTTGTAGTTCTACTTCTCTTTTATAAATATCAAACTTTATTAAACCTTCATCTTTGGAATGCAAAAGATACACATAACAAAACCTAGAATAATCATCTATAAACGTAATCATGTATCTTTTGTTCCCCAAAGAAGGAGTATTATGAAAATCACACAAGTCACTATGGATCAGTTCTAAAATATTAGAACTTCTCTCAACTCTTTAAAAGGAGATCTAATGATCTTGTTCAACATACAAGTAGAACATTTATTAGAAGAAATATCACAAGGAGGAGTTAACTCTAGTTTAGACATGAAATTCAACTTATTGGAATTGACATGACTTAATCTAGAATGCCATAAATAAAACAAATTCACACCATTGTCATTACTAATATTTAAACAAACATCATCCATCATTACAAACTTCTCTCTTAACGAGAGTTTAAACAATCCATGAGTTAAATAACAACGTCCAACGAAAGTGCTACCTCTAGTAATAATACATCTATCTGCTTCAAACACTAGTTTATATCCAAGACGATTCAGGGTAGGACCAGATACGAGATTTCTAGAAATCTTCGGAGCATATAATACATCCCTAAGAATGATACCATTGCCCGAACAAAACATTAGCTCAACTTGTCCTCTTCCTTGGACTTTGATGGAAGAGTTGTTCCCCATATAGAGCTCTTCACCATCAACAACCTTGTGAAAGGTTTTGAACCAATGCTTCACCTTGCATACATGCCTTGAAGCCCCGAAATCCATCCACCATGAGTCATCATCATGTACCATAAAAATATTAGGATCCGTTGCATTTAAATCCATACCGGAATTAAATTCAACCTCATGTAAAGGATTACCTTTGACAGATGGCTCCTTGCTATTAGAAGCATGGCCCTCCTTGGATTTCTCCATTTTCTTCTTGAAAATGTAGCATTCCTTCTTGCGGTGTCCAGTTTTACCGCATTCCCAACAAGCAAACTTGTTGTTGTCCTCCTTCTTCTTGGACTTCCCTTTGGAAGAATTAACATTCTTCCTCTTTCTACTAGTTGAAAAGCACTAGATTTACCTTCCTCCACCACATTAATGGTGGAAGTGCTAGGATTCCCATCCTTAGCATTTTCCATGGCCCTAATCCCTTCTTCAACTTGAAGATGTGTAGCCAAATCAGACAAATATATGTCCTCCTTTTTGTGTTTTAATTTATGTTTCACATCTTTCCAACTAGTAGGTAGCTTATCAATGATACTTGAAACAACAAACAGTTCATCAACACTAATTCCATGTTGTTTCAAATTTCCATATATACGTTGTATCTCATGAAATTGATCCATGATGGACCTACTATCAACAAACTTAAAATTATTTAAATTACTTACAAGGAACTTCTTGCTCGAAGCATCCTCCGCCATATATTTGCTCTCCAATGACTCCCATAGCTCCTTAGCAGACTCAACATGTTGATACACATCAAATAAATCATCCTCCATCCCATTGAGAATATGACCCCGACAAATAAAGTCATTATTATCCTATTTTGATTTCTCACGAACATCTTCCATGGTTTCATTCTCATGTTCTACTGGCCTAGGAGTACTAATAACATAAGCAATCTTCAACGAAGTAAGAAGAAAATACATCTTCTTCCAACGTCGAAATTCCACACCATCAAACTTCTTAAGTTTGACAAAATTAGTGGTAAGTTCTTTCACACTAGACATGATTAAATAATCACTTTAGATTGTTAGGTTTTACATCAATTCAACAAAATAAGAATTACTTAAAGATGGTTTAACAAAATCTAAACAGTGTATAATTCCAAACAAATTATACAATAACCACATACTAATTAAAGTATTACAAACCAAGCACTAAATAAACAATGTAATTCAGAAATTACAAAAGTAAAACACTAATGTGAAAGATTCTACACTTGCCTCACTCCAAGCCAATGAATCCAACAAGAACATGAGAATACCAAGGACCACGTGAGTCTTCAATACCGGATACTTGTCTAAGGCGTGTAAACACTTTCCTAAAGTGATTATTTCCCCCACCACGGTGCTTGGGTTGAAACTGGAAAGTCACTTTGAGATACAATAGACAAACACTACAATCTTTGCACTAAGAATTGTATTAAGATGATCAAATTCTCAAATTAACTTAATTGATAGAGGATTTCTAGAAGAGATTGCAAGTTTCTTAGAGAAATTGTGAAGAATAGAGAATAAAAATCAGAGAGAGCAAAAAACCCGAATCCCCTTCATTCTTTTAATTTCGCAATTAAAAGAACAAACGAATCCACAACTGCCAGGGCCGCGGGCGCGGCATCCTGTACCGTGGGCACGGCGGCCCATTCCGCGGGCGCGGACAGGGTGAATTTCAATTCACCTCAGATTCTAGAGATGGCTGGCCGCGCCCTTGCCGCGAGCGCGGCTTTCAGTGGCTTCCAGCCGCGGCCTCTCCTGAATTAGGAGAGGGCTCTCCCAACACACTCTCAATATCTAACATGTAGTAGTTCCGACGATGGAGGGTGCAGCAGCAACAACAAAACTGAAATCAGTGTTGGGTGAAAGCTAGTTGTGACTCCAACAACGAGTGGTAATCGATCTCTTTCATCCATCAACGTCGGCAAGAATTAAGTCTAAGAGCTCCTTGCACAATGCCCAAGGTTATTAATTTCAAGATGAAATAGTCACCCCTACCTTTTGGGGTTGACCAAGCCCTTAATATCACCTTTTACTCCTAGGATTTTCTTTTAATATGGTGCTGTCGATGGTGTTGGTAGACGGTTTAATGGATGAAGCTTGGACATGATGAAGATGGTGGTGTCGGTGGTAGCTTCAATGGAGGAAGCAACTTGGACACCATTGTTAGCGTTATTAACGAAGGTAGGATCTAGGCTTGCGTTTTTGGTGATTAAGTAGCTGACGAAGCACTAGTATGAGCTAGCTTTTATGAGTAAGCACTAAATTGACAAAATATGTTGATCATGAAGATCAACTGGGCGAGCCCATTTTTAAAGGTTGTAAAAGTCATGGGATTTTTTTTTCTTTTTTTTTTGACGGGTATGTCATGGAAAGTTATTAGGAGGGTTTATTTTTTTAAAAAAAAAAAAAAAAAAAAAAAAAAAAAAAAAAAAAAAAAAAAACCCTCATTTTGGAGAGAGTCTAGAATGGCTAAGCTGGGGTTTTCAAGTACTGTTAAAGTTGAGAGAGTGACTCTACAATTATAAATTGTAGGTTATTAGCCATAATATTATGAACTTATTAGACACAAAATAGTATTAATTGTACTTCCTCCAATTGTTAGATGCTTTTCATATCTATACCTAAAAACAACTGTATTAATGAATGAAAGTAGGATAGGGAGGACGAGTAAACCTTTATTGATCATGAACGTAAAGAGGTTTTTGTCCTAAAACACAAGGGTTGAACAAAATGATGAAGAGGAAGTGAGAGAGAACCACAAAATGCCCAGAGATTCAGTTATCAAAATGATTTTCCGCATAAAATCATATTCATCATATTCCAATATGCAATTTCAAGTTGGCTGGTTAGCTAGACAGTGCAGTTCTTCCCATACTAAGTACTAAAGAAGTAAAGATCACATTATGCTTCAGATAGTTACAGCGACACAAAAACACTACAGAAACTGCACAGATTGACCCATATTAAGCCCACAAATCTATATTTACAAGTTGTAAGTAGCCAGTCTAATTATTTACTGGTTGCTGTGTAGACTATCATGCAAAGCAGAAGCATAATCTCCAAACTGCAGGTCAGAAGGCGGATGCAAGGTGAAAACATAGGAAATGGGACTGGATGTTACTAGAGGTTTTTTTGTATTGACAGCATCTGGTACAACTCCAAAAGTAGTTTCATCAAACTGGAAAGACTCCTTAAGAAAGAAGAAGCACTCTGCACCCAACTTCTCCACCTGAGACACCATTAACAGATTATAGTAGTATGTCATATATTCAACATAGACGGAGAAATGATTTGTATTGTGCCTAGAATTATCAACCAAGGAGAACATATAGCATGAACACGGGATAATCATTTCATATTGATCTGAAACAAAAACAATCCATACACTCCCAAATTTCTTAAGATTCTGTCGGTGTGTGATACATCAACCAACTTCCATGGTTCAAACATTTAGTGGTAGGAGAGAGACTGAGGTCAACAAAAGAGGGACATTTGACTTTCTAGGCAGCATCCTTCGGGTACCACTCCTAATAAACCTTGTATATACCTAAGCCTGCTGTTCTGGACAGGCATGGATACAATGTAAGATTAGGAATAACTGGCTAGTGGGCTATCCCTAATTCAAGCATCACGAAGTATCAAAGCTGTCCAACACACATCAAAACATATTCTCGAGCATAAAATTTTGTATGACAGCCTATTAACTAGGTCAGAGTCACAGCAGTTAAACAAATCGAACAAGATATTGAAGGTTTAAGTAATTAACAGCTGTACCTGTAGGCGTGAGAACCTGACATTGTTCATGGTAAGGATGACATGAACTTCAAACAGCATATCAGCTAAAATGCGGATAGCCAAATGCTCAAAAAAGTTATGTATAAGATGCTTTTGGTTTTCCGCGATTTCTTCACAACTATCAAAATTAGGAAACCAGAAGATACGCTTCACTTTGTCCCAAGAAATTGAATTTTCAACTGCTCCAGATTTAAAAATCTCAAAAGGTTGACTTATGCCCCACAAAATTTGAACACCAGACAGAGATGGATCAAATATAGTGGTCTTTGAAAGAGAGGTTGTGGCTATAATCTTTGATGATTCACAATGCTGAGAGAACGTTGATGAAAAAAGCAAGTCTGTGTCATCCAGTAACAATAGACAGCCATCGGAAGATGTGGGAAATAATTTAATAAATGCTGCAGCATCACCAGCCTCATCTTCTGGAATGCATAAACTTGATCCAGCAGACACGAATTGAGCACCATGATCATGAGAAAAGACACATGCGTCACCATTTCGACAACCCTGCGTAAGCACTAAACAATTAAACAAAAGTAGAAACTAGTAGCAGAAGAATGTGTGGAAGACTTTAAAAACGTAAGAATGATAATGAAGAAGGCAGCAAATAGCATAAGGGCAGAGAGGTGTGGCTATCCATTTTCTTTATGCCTGGTCATGATGATCAGGTAAATATCAAGAAAAGAGCTACAAGGGCTAACTATTTCCCATTATTACTAATACTTGTATATATATGTGCACTAGTTGACTCGCTTTATAGTTTATGACTGATGTTTGTGTTCATTTGCAAAGGACTACTAGAGAGGACTAAAAACTGCCAGTTAAATTTCTAAGGATGTTCACCTTGCTCATTGCTCCTGATACAAAAAGAACTAATAACAAAGCAACCTTGTTATCTTTTCTGCTTCTCATCAGTCATTACACACAACAAAAGCAATGGACTTAAAGTTATATCATCAATTCAAAGCACCGATGAGCAATGATACATCATTGAGACATCTGCAAAATGTTGCTTTGTACAGCTATTCATCATCTGATACAAGGCAACACAAACATAAGTGTCGACAGAGACTGATACCTGCAAAGATGCAAAAAATTTGCACACAGGTTTTTTGGCTTGTTGTGAATGGGAGAATAGACAATCACTGCCTCTCTTACAATACCCTTGGACAAAAAACCTACACATTGATACTTCCACGTTAAAATGTGATTCCCTCTCATTAACATACTGGTGAGGGTCTCCAACCAAGGCTTCTGCATGCTGAACTCGGATCTGAGAAGCAAATTTACTAGACAAATGAGATTGCATATAATCAAATATAAGTGGGAGGAGGGGGGGGGGGGGGGGGGAGATGCGACAGATGCTACCTCTTTAATAACAGTTGCAAACTTCTCTGCCATGCTTTGACTTTGAAAGTGGTGAGGGGACACAAATGGTGTAGCAAGGCATTTCTTTGTTTCATCATCCTCAAGAAGAGCATCCAAATCGTCATTTGGCTGACATTCTAAAAGGCACGTATGTCTAAATTCATAAGGATCATAGTAAGAGGGCAAGCCACAAGATGTGGCAAGAAACTTAGGCCTATATTGATGCAACGAGCATAAAATTTCATTGTCTGCATAGAAAAGTGCAGCAAATATTAAACCAGATTGTAATGAAGAGTTTCAACTTCAAGGGGTCTAAAGGAGCATAATAACATACATATTTCAGAAATCTGATGCATCGATGCCTGCAACAGATTATGGAAGCAGCACCATTCTTCTTCGATTTTAGAGAGCAACACATGCGGTGCTTTTATCTCCTCGACATTTAAAAGTTGTTTCAAACGCTGCAACCGTTGCTTATCCTTCATAGCAATTAAAAAGGTAGAAAACAATCATATATAGCAAGAAAACATAAACCCTTGAGTCTAGAGATACGCAGAAGGAACATCACTATTACCTTACATACTCGCTGCCAAAATTGATAAGCACACAGATTTGCCATGCAAACCACCTCTTTCCTTCCAGCCAGAGAAGGATTCTCTCCGTTTACAGCAAAGTAGGAATCAGTATATTCCATAAACTGCAAATGGTAGCTAATACTTAGAAAGACAAATGCATACCAAAATTATGTCAAATATAATTGTTACAGACATACTCCGGATGCCAAATAAATGTATAGATAGTACATGTACCCGAATTTCCTGACCAAAGGGACGAATAATGGGCTGTGGCTGCAAATCCATCAATATGCCAAGTAAAATGCCCTCACGTAACATTCCAGCACCACCTAATCTGAGGATCAGCACAGAAGCATCAAAAGATAAGGAGAAACTGGCGAGCAATCGTCCATAAAAGGTGGGTTCATATCGACCCCTAGGATGAGCTTTGTGAAGGGCCTTTATATGAACTAGTAAGTTCAGTGCATCCTCTATAATCTCAAGATCAGGTGGGTCCAAAGCCTTCTGGGACAAAGCTGGAAATCAAAATCAACATTTAAAACATCTACTTTCAAAGTAAATAAATAAATAAATTATTTATTAGAATGAATAAAAGAGAGAACACAAAACATATTAAAACCGTAGTCAGGCCAGAAGCACACTGTGCTTGAGATATGACGCTATGACTTATAACATGACTAGTAAACGCACTAATGTATCCCAAGGAAAAGTGTGACTGGTTTGATTACCCAACCCAGAGTACTTTGAAGATACGCGCATTTTTCATATGACACCATTAGGGATGTGGGAGACAACTAGCATACTCCAGGGAAAGTATTACTCCAACGAGAAAGAGAGGAAATAGTAGATCCATTTTGATAGAGGGGATTAGGAATGGATAAAAAGAAAGAAAATAACTTGTTTCAATTCCCCATGGTTAGTTCCAATAATGATATGAAATTTTATAGAAAAAGCAATGGAAGTGATGAGAAAGCCCCATCATAAAATTTTCTTTCCCTTCCTCCCAATATTGGGGGAATTTGGAAAGAATAATAAGAAGATTAAAGTATGTCAAAACTCAAAATGAACTTTTTTTCTTTTTCCTTAAAAAAACAAACACAAGGAAACAGAGTTTCTTTCTCTTCCCTTCCCTTCCCTTCCCTTCCCTTGACAATCTGTTTAATATTACACCAAACAAAGTGCTCTGTTAACCAAGCCCAAAAAGAAACAATTTACTTTCTTATAAATTTTTATTTTTTATTTTTTATTTTTCGTGAATGAACAAATACCAGAAAGTACAATAAAATTGTCCTCCCAACAGCTCTGTTGAATTTTTCCCATTGAGTAACTCTAAGTTCCCCTACCACCTTAGCCCACAAAGAAGCTAAATAAGATATCCTATCCGGCTATCCCACAACATATCAGCAGTGAAAAGCAATTCCCTTAAAAAACCAAGCATCCCATTCTAATCACAATATACACAAATACCACCAAATAGCCTTAAAATCATTTCACCACAATATTTTCTTCTCCTTTTCCCTTCCAAAGCCCAAAAGGCAGATTTGCGCACAGATCCAATGAAGTGGCTGGTACTTCCCATGCACAGCAAAGAGCTTCCTCCAAATATTTCTAGCCACCTCACAATGAAAGAAGAAATGTGAGCATGCCCCATTGTAGGCACAGAAAAATATGCACAAATCTGGCATAGTAGCCATCTGTAGTTTTCTTCTTTGGTGCAAATCATTAGTGCTGATTCTCCCCAGCACCAAAGTCCACACAAATGCTCTTACCTAAAGTGGAACTATGGTCATCCAAATAAATCTATATACCAGCAAGAGAGGGGGGGGGGGGGGTACCTCGTTGGCAGTGAAAGGCAGACTGCCAAAAAAAGATTTGCAAGAAAAGGTGCCCATTATATCCCTCAATCACTTCCTAGAATCCATAACCTGCATTACTTGGGGATACAGAACCTCAAAAATCACAGTGAACGCATCTATTTATCTATCTTGAAGATGACTTCATTAATGAGGATCCAAAACATTGCTAGAATGGAATGCGGAAATGGGAGCTTAAGAGACTAATCAGAACATACTGCCTTACAAAATGGTGACAGCAACTAGTGGTAAATGAATTAACCCATGCAAAGAAACTACAGACTTTTGGATTACATCCACATTCTGAAAAGAAAGGCCCATGATCCAAATGAGGCAAATTCAAAATTAAAAAAAAAAATGAAGAGAGCAGCGATAGCAGGGAGGTACCTACCTTTTGGGTCATTAATAAGTTTTGATTCGGCACAGCAAATGAAGAGCACCTGTAGTCTTAGTGATAGCTTGAGAATTGCAGGGGACTCAAATTCTGGCAGCTTATTAAAAAATGATCCTGTAACCAACCTATAAATCTGGCCATCACACGTTCTGCCAGTTCTTCCTTTACGCTGATCAGACTACAGGACAATCCACTGTTCAATTAGACTTCATATGTTTGACTATTTATTAATTTTATATATAATGGTACTATAACAATACCTGAGATTTAGAAACCCAAGCAAGCTCAGATGTATCCATTTTTCGGTTGTCATCCCAGTAAACTTGTAGTGACCGGCAAGAATCAATGACATATGCAACATCAGGAATTGTCACTGATGACTCTGCAATATTGGTAGCTAATATAACCTGCATCATGTGAGTAGTAGCATAAATCAGACAAAAACTCTAAAGTAGCTCAGGATCCAGAACAAAGAGACATGGGCCAGACCATTTGCAAAAGATTCACCTATTGGGCCTAATCTGAGTGTGTTAATTTCTTAATGGTTTTCCATAACATTTCAAAGATTGCCCACAATTCATTAATGAGATGCGATATGCCCGTATGCAAGTCAGAATATATATTGAAAAAATTAAGGACCAATTACAAGGTTTAGAGAAACAAACCAATGAAAACATCATCAATTAAACAGAAGAATGCTTTGTGAGAACAAGGTGACAAAGGGGATAAAGAATAAAGATACATTTTTGAATTTAAAAATACGCTCTTAATCCCACAATGTTACATACTCCCTCTGCTTCCAAAAGATGTTCCCATAACCTGTCTTGAGGTGTTTCTTAATGATTTACCCATTTCTACTTTATCCTTTGTTAGATAAGCCAACTTTACTATCTTACTCCCTTACATCTACAATATATACTCATTATTCACACTCTTTCTTACTTGTTTACCTTATTCTTACACCCTTTCAACCTTTTTACCCTCTCTCTCTCTTAATCTATGCACCTTTTTCTTACACCCACTTAACTCTCTCAGAATCAAGAGTCACCTGTAAATGAGTACGAAAAAAGAAAACGGAGGGAGAATGTTACAAAACAAGCGTGTAAAATCAAAGTGGATTGATAGAGAAAATTTTGCCCCTAATTTGTACTTTCTAGTTAATATATGTGCACACTTAAGAAGGGTAAATTATACTGAGAGAGAGAGAGTTTGATAGTAACCGGGTAAGGTTGCTTACATTTAAGTATTTGACCCCTATATCCCACCTAGAGTGAGAGCAATTTTAAAGGCATAAATAACTTCAATGTTACTGCTTATGCAGTCCAAAAATATTTTATTTTCTATTTTATTTTTATTAAATCATGATAGGGTGATAGTAATCCATGAAAGTACAGCAACAAACAATTACAGATTTCAATTCAGAAGTCTTTATTGACTCCAAGTATTGATTAGTGACTCCATCCTAAATGCTTACAAATTTTTACCCTTACTAGTTATTACTACCTCCGTTTTCCCAAGTCTTACTCACTTTCCGTTTACATCCGTTTTTCTAAGTTTTACTCGCTTTTACTTTATTCCTTATATGACAGCTTTTTAAACATTTTTTATCATCCACAACCCCACTTTGTGGGACCCAATTTTATACTTCCTCCGTTCTAGTAATATTGCTGCAACAATTGGACTTTTGCACTATTCATCATGCTTGTTTGACCACAAATTATGATTTATACGTAAAGTAAACTATAGTCATGTGGGATCTTATTAGATTCGTCTCGAAAAATAGTTTCACAAAATCAACTTTTTATAATTTTTACTATTATATAATTATAGATATTTAACATATAAAATGTGCTTTGAGATGCGTAATTTCATCCTTGTTACAATATTTGTGGAACAGAGGAAGAGTAATATATCTATTACTCTCATCTTTAATACAAACGTATCCACATATATAGTCCCCATTCTTACTTTTCCTTGGTTTGCACAGCTACAATACTCAAAAACACTCAACAAAACAGCAGTAGTTATAGTATAATACAAATGCTGGCATGTATTGCACATGGCTAAATAACTTATTCGTTAGTGTGTAAACTCATAATGACTATTTCTCTAGATTTACACCATAATGACTACACAAAAGTACCAACTTATAATGGCTAACACTTTTTCTTTAGTGTGAACTCATGATGACATTAAATATACAGCGGAGGCACATTTGATTGAAGATAATTTTCAAGGAATAGGGTAGAAATTCCACAAATATCCTTTTGTATGTAAGCTTTAATATCCTCATCATGCCATAGGTTACTCTTTCCTTATTATACGAACAAATTGTAATTTTAAAACTAATTTTAGAAAGTGGAATTATTTTGGGACAATACAAAGAAATATGGCCAATATTTAGGGAGGAAGGGAGTAATAATCAAGGAAACTTTAGAAGTTGACAAATTTACTATAGTTTCGTCTTTGGAAAGGATGAAAAAAGAGAAGAGATACAGAAACATAAGGCTGTAAAGAGTACTAAGTAGGGAGAAAACACTACAAAAATAACCCCTTTCACCTAGAGACCCTTTAGATTTTGTTCTTTACTCATCCATTGCATGTTCCATCTATATCATCACTGTAGTTATAACTTAAAATAGGTCAAATCAGTAATTGATAATTTGATATACCTCGGTGCCAGCACTAATTGTGTCTGCAACACTTATGACGACAAAACAGACCAACAAATTAACCACCAATATAGAAAAGAGAAAATCCAAATGCACCTTACGATGGGACTTTGATATCTTCATAGCCTTCAAAGCTTGGTTTGTATCCACACTGCTGTGTAAAATATGGACCTTGAAATCTGAACTGAAGGGTTTTAAGAGGTACCATTGCTGCTCTAAGGAATAGTATGTTGGAAGGAAAACCAAAATACTCTTTTCAATGTCTGGCTCACTTGTATGTATGTACAAGACAAGTTTATGAATAAGATTGTGCACATCACGTTTGATATCAGCCTTAGCCATGGATGGGGCTGTACCGCAACAGTATTTCACAGACAATGAGTCTGAAGACTCTGAACTCTCATCAAGAAGTTCAGCAACCTGCCATCAAACAGAAGTCAGTAATATAATACTTCTTATTGAAAGAAGAGAATCTGATAAATCATGAAAAAATAAAAAAAATTTAAAAAAAAAAAACAACCTTATTTGCATCAGTTAGCTCAGTATATATAGACTCAATCAGTATAAAGATAAAGAAATTTTAAAAAGTAACAGAAAAGTTTCCTTATAAACAGCACCCTTCAGGAAACCAAAAAAAAAAAAAAAAAACCAATATGAAAATTCATATATAAGCTAAACAGGACGTTAAACTAATATCAAACACCAAAATTAGGAAACGCAGGCAATTCTACGTAATTCCTCCTAATATATGTTAAAACATTTAGGTAAAATGCAGTTTCTATCAGATACTCCCAAAAACAAGTTCCCCAAAAGTGTTTCCGGTAGCTGTGTTAGCTTTCAGTAAATCAGGTACTAAGAAGTAAGAACATGTAAATACTTGAAGATGCCTTCAAATAGTTTGGTAGTTAAGCCCTACGTGCCCTTAAGTGCACTGTTAAAATTCTCACATCAACTAAGTGAGAAATCAAAATGCCCTAGAAAGTAAAAATAACAATAACAATAACAATAACAATAACAATAACAAAATAATAACAATAACAATAACAACAACAATAGTAATAATAATAATAGTAAAATTAATATAACTAAGAAACATAGAAAAAACTGCACTAACAAGTAAGCTTCAACGAATACCAAAACAAGATCCAAGAGAAAAGAAATGGATGTTTACCTGTTCAAGATAAAGGACCTTCCGCTGAAAATTGATGTGCTGACTAGAACTGGGAATAGCAAGGACTTCCACTCGCTCATCCCTGCCAAGATCCTTAAAGTAATCCCGGTATCTCGAAATATCAGCAGTTGCAGACATCAACACCAGCCTATACAAAATTTGATTTCTATCAGGCAGCTAAAAGCAAAAGCTGCATGAAAGTCTCAACTATGTGCTAGAAATCATAGCACAAAAATCAAATATAGTTTCTTAGATACAGAAATCTTTTAGCATATACTTCCTCCAATAGCTATGCTGTAAGTTTAGATAAAATGTAGCACTTGTCACCATAAGCAATGAGAGTATGAAATCAGACAGTGAAGATTGAAGAAAACCAACATGCACTTAACAGCATGTTTGTTAGTTTCCCTCAGGTGCTATGTCAACTTTCTAAGTAAGCTCAAATTACGATTATAATCATTATTATAATTGTAAAATGAAAAAGCACTTTATCTTCCACGACTTCTAACATGGATCAAGGCAAGTCGCTCAGATGACTAAGACATGGGAGCTATGAACACTTGCAGCCAGGGGTAAAGATGGATAGAAGGAAGGAACAATAAATTGAAGCAAACAGATATATGAATAAGGAAAACCTTATATCTTTGTTTCTAAGAAGAAACTGTTTCACACAGACAAGAACAAGATCAGATTCTACTGATCTCTCGTGCACTTCATCTAGTATGATAGCCTTGTACTTGAGCGCAAGTATCCCCTTTTCTCTTATTTCCTCCAGCAGTACACCAGCAGTTTTAAAGATGATTTTTGAGCTGCATTGATACAAGTTAATTTTAGCAAAGATGCCACTTCAAAAATAGAAAACTGCCCCGTGGTTTTCTCCACGGGATACAATAAATCAGTCAAAAATACAAATGCAGAGTATTATACACAGAGCTACATGCAAAATTGCATATACATACCATATAAGGAACCCTAACTAGACAAAATGTATACAAAGAGACAACTTTAATTCTGAAGTTCATGTTAACTAGTAGAATACAAGAGAGGATGGGTGTCTTTTATGACAAAAACCCATTACATGAGTCAAGGCACTGGAATATGAGTAAGCTACAGAAACATTCAAACATAGTAGAATAGAGATGCTGTCTTTTTCAAAAAATAATAGTTGGGAACAGATGTTCAGAAAAGTGTGTGCCAATACCTGGATGACATGACCTTAGAGTGCCCAATGTGATATCCAACCTCGCCTCCCACTTCACATTGAACAACACTTGCAACCATTTTAGCAACAGCTACAACAGCAAACCTCCGAGGCTGTGTACAAATAACTGGGGTTATGTTTGCTTCACGGAGAAACAGCGGAACCTGTGAGCTTTTCCCTTCAACACCCAATTAAACACGTTGTCAGCATACGTTAAAAGTAATAACAATCTTAAAATAATTAAAACTTTAACACATTAAATAAGATAACGAGAAAATCTTGTTTTAACCCTGAAAGGTATAAAACAATCCAAACCCAAATAGTCATAAGGTGGAATCTTATATAGCTACGGCCAACGATGGTTGTTGTGTTACACGCATTGGAATGATACTTCAAATGCCTGTGATAACACCTTAGGAGGCAGTGGTAGTAGAGACATGCAAAATTGTTACCCTTTTTTTTTTTCTTTTTTTTTTTTGAGGGCAAATTTGTTACCTTATGAGATGAACATATTTATCCATTATGCCATAACATCGTACCCTTTAAAAAAATGTTCTAGGTACCTTAGTAAGGAAATTTATTACTTATTTTCATTAGATACACACCAACTCAAATCAAACAACACTAAAATGAATCTAAAAAGACCCATTTGATATGTATTTTCTCATTTATTAGTGTATAAATAAGGTCAAAGTACAATTTTTAAAAAAATCATTTTACTACCATCCTCTTCCTTCACCTTCAATAATCCTGGTATAATCTAAGTATCTAACTACATCACCCAGGCCTAAAATTGAAATATCAAAATAAATAAAACACTAGACATTATAATCCAAAATTAAATGGAACATTCACAAGGTCCCTCCCTATAGAATTAACACTCCCTCTTTTTTCTTTTTCTTTTTCTTTTTTTCTTTTTTTTTTTTCTTTGTGTGGGTGTGTGTGCTTTTTGTACATTTTCCATCGTAATATTGTAAATAAAATATCTCAATAATACATACTTCCTCCGTTTCTTTTTAGTTGACACGTTTGACAATGCATAACTTCAACCATTAATATCTTTAATTACCGATAAACAAAAATTATAAAAAGTTGATATTAAAAATATATAGTGACGAATCTAACAAGATCCCACATGACTATAGTTTTCATTACTTATAACCACAAAACCCGGTCAAAGGGGAGTGAGTAAATAGTGCTAAAATAAAAAAGTATCAACTAAAAAACACGGAGGTAGTATTACAAAAAATTAGAAAAAGATTTATATGAAAACTAAAATCAAGATGAATCTAACAGGTTCCACAAAGACTGTGTTTTGAAATTAATAAAAAAAAATAAAAAACTCATTAAATCCGGAATATCCATTTTCCATGAAATCTTAAGAGATTCAAAGTTTCTAAATGTGACAAATAAAAACCAAATGAAGGAAAAGTCATATTACTACTTCAAATTACACTATCAACAACTAATTCCTTCCAGAGCTAATTGTCACATTACTAGTTCAGGTCACACCATAAACACGACAACTAATTCCTTCCCGGTATTGTCACGTTATTAGTTCAAATTACACTAGCAACAACAACAACTACAGCCATCACATTATTAACCAACAAGACAACTTCTCGCCAAAAATTGCTACTTGATCAAAGAAAAATTCAAAAAAATAGGAAACTCATGCTTGATTTTATCGAACACATTATGAACAATGTAGAAATTGAGAAGAAAAAAGTAAAAAATTTATACCACAACCAGTTTCGCCGACGATGAGAGTAACTCGATTCTCCATAATTTTGTCAACAATTTTGTCCTTCATAGCCGTAATCGGAAGAGAAGCGAATTTCTCAGCAGAAAACGGAGAAGGATACGACGAACTGCACGACGAAGACGACGGCGATGACGGCGACTCCATTGAAACTCCGGCGAATTTAGGAGAGAGAAAATGACTCAAAAATAAAAAATCAAAAATCAAAGACCAAAAACACTCTTTTTGCTTTAGAAGTCGTCTTTGTTAATTGTGAATTTGTGATAGTATTATAGTGTATGAACTGCTAATGCTGCTGCGCCCTTTTTTTGCTTTTAGTCTCTCGCGCTTTGAGAGAGTGATTCGGTGTGACGCGGGTGTAAGGGAGTGATGATGTGTGATGGGGTTTGATTTGATAGAGTGGGTTTAGGGGGTGGGATTGTGTACGTGGAGTGATCAGAGAGAGGGTGTAGGGAGGTATGGTGTAGTGGTGGTGTAGGGGAGAGAATTCTCTTGCAAGTAGGGGGAAAAATTAAGGATCCCATTTACTTGAAGTGAGAATCGAACCTCTGTTCACTAGGGTGGAAGGAAGGCGTCCAACCACTAGGCCAACCTTAATTCTCTATACAGTCCTAGTTGTTGAAGGTGGGTAGACTCTTGAAATGGGATTGTGGAGAATCGTACGTACAGTTGCCGGTTGGATCTTGTAGTACGCGATGTCATTTGGAATAAAATACGAGTAGGTGGGATCTAAAAACTATGAAAATTAAAGTTTGATCAGAGTCTTATACTTCATACAAGTATAACTGTATAAGATATAATCAGGAAAAAGCAATACTCCTACTAAATAACAATTTTACTCTCTTACTTATCCATATCTTCATATCACAATTTTACTTTCTCATAAATATGCTAAGGACATATAATTTCTCGATTACTCCGCTCCAAATTACTTCCTCCGTTTCTTTTTAGTTGACACATTTCTTTAATCACGTTAGCCAATGCACAAATTCAACTATTAATATCTTTAATTAATTACCGATAAGCAAAAATTGTGAAAAGTTGATATTGTGAAACTATATATCGTCACGAATCTAACAAGATCTCACATGACTATATTTTTCATTACATATAAATCACAAAACACGCTCAAAGACAAATGTGTGAATAGTGCTAAAATCAAAACGTGTCAACGAAAAAAACGGAGGTAGTATTTGACATATTTTTTTATTCACATTTGACAATGCTTGCAATCGTGAATATTAATTGACAATACTGTCAATACTACCAAAAATACAAATCTAGAGAAATAAATCCAAATCTTGTGTGACAATATTTTTCTTATACATTAATCACAAAAGCTAGTCAAATCCGAGTTTGTGAATAGCGATAAAAGTCAAATCATATCAACTAATTTGGCACATGAGAAGTATATACGAAATATTTAGAATATCTAATATGATTAATATACTATTGCGTTTGCCCTTATCTACTCTAATACAAGTATATAACTTTAATTTGAAATTTATTTGGGAATGTAAACAAAACAGAACTTTTTTTTAAACCAAGGAAAAAGAACTTTTTTTGTGTTCCACCCGGTTAATCCTTTGGGTTAATTCGGATTCGGGAATCAGTTTTGAATAATTAAGTTTCAGTCCCCTCCCAATTGTTGTTGTGAAGGATCGAACCTTATTAACATTATAGATATGATCGAACAAACTAGCAAATGACAATAAGCAAAGCATCCATTGAGGGATGTATTAGCCATTATAAAGGTCATGCCTCATTCGAAAATAAGATACAAATCTTAAACTATATATCATGATATTGATTATTGTAAGTAATCAATGAGAATTGGACCTCTAACCATTGTTAAATTATATGATTTATTTACACTTGACCATTAAGGTATTGTTTGGTTGCACTTGATTTCCAATCAAATTTCCCATGAATTTTGTTTCGGCCATGTTGTTTGGTTGTCATTGTAAAGTAAAAATGGAGGGAATCACAATTTATGGGAATTTCTATTTCCCATAAAACATGGGAATTTATTTACCCATCCCACCATTAGTCATTCACAATTCCTATGGTTTACAAATTCCCACATGACAACCAAACACATTTATTTAAGGGATTATTTGGCCTCGTTTTTTTATTTCAGTTTTCAATTTTTTTTAAAACAAAAAACCAAAAACAGGAAACAAGAAAAAGGTGTTTCCACTTTTTTGTTGTCAGTTTTCAAAAGTATCATGATTTTAATAAGTTTGACTAATTTTTGATTCATTATATGATATATGTCATATGATTTTGAAAAACAAAAAACCAAAAAACCAAAAAACAGAAAACTACAGCAATGCCAAACGAACCCTAATTAATTTCTAGGAATTTCATAAGAGAAATAATTTCCCATATATTAGAATTTTCCATAGAAATTTATTTCCTACGCCAACCAAACAAACCCTAAGTCATGTTTAATATAGTCATACAATTACAGTAGGTTATTTATTTCCTTAAATTAATTTGAATCCCAATCATTTTTGGGCCATATGTGTCACCTCCACTAATTTATTATTATCTATCGTTTTTCTTTTACGCTTATGTATACGTTAAACTACTACTCATATGAAGGGTGTTGTTTGTTATCTTGGCATTTTATCAGACCTATGTTTCCTTATAAGGTTTTATTACTTTAAAAGGCAAAAGCTAATGAGCACCTCCTGAGGCGTTAAATAAGAGAACTAAAAGTGAAAATATATAAGTAAAATTAACATTAATTACACCGATCGACGCGTGATTTTCTCATGCATTTATAACTTAATTCTATTTAAAGTAATATATTAATTAGTTATCTAGCACCCCGTGACGCTTGTTAGAAAGATCCATTTTGAAAATATATTAATAAAGTTATTAAAGGAATAATTTTGATAGACATAGTTTTCATTTAGATAAATTCTTAAATGCAAATATATGGCCTTTCATGCAAGGTGTTCAATATTTTGAAAAAAGTATATCTCACCCAAGTAATGAGTTTAAATACAAAAACTAGGCTTTTGGCTCGTACAACTTATAGGCTTATTATTGGTGTTTATTTCGGTTTGTGTGCTTTTGAATATTGAGTGTTATGTGTATTTGGAAAGGATAAATGGGGTAAGACACTTTGCTAAATGTAGTGTATTTAGTTATTACATATTAGCATGGAAACATGGGTGATTATTGGTCATTATAGATGGAATGTGTAACCGGAAACATGATTAAAGAAATTGAATTTTTGGAAATTTAATTCAGAATGAGACTTAAAAAAAAGTGGAGGGGCTAAAATTAAAGAGAGTGAAGGAAAGGTTGAATTGAAGAGGGGAGATTAAGTACAATTGGTTTGAATTATTGTGAGTTTTCTAAAAAATTAAAAATGTAATGAGACACAAGCACATAGTAGTATAATTAGGTATACCTCTATTTGTTGCCACTTTTAACCCTAAGAAGCCAACTATAACTAGTTCAGTCTCCCATGCAAGCAGCTTAGGATCTTTAATCTCTGTGAGATCATCCCATATAGAGATAGTCATTGGCATTATAGTGCTGCAAATTTAAATAAAGCATTGTGAGATGAAAAATTTAGTGTAAGTAATTGATGTAATGTTTTAAATTGGAGTATTATTATTACAAAACTTGTACTGACATGTGGTCTATCACACTTTATGTCTCGAACTGGATGTTCAATGCCCTGCTCACTTGTTATTATTCTTATATCACTGATAAAGAGCACCAGACCTAGGATATCTGTGTTTATCATGTGCAATAACTTAGTTACCAAAACACTTTCTAAACTTATTATAGAGATATTTTGAAATAAAAAAACCACAAAATTTAGAGATATATATATATATATATGCGATCATATGAGACCACAAACCTTATGTGAGAACCCTATTATATGTGAGGACGGATCAATTACATCCAACGGCCACAATTAATTCCGGTCAAACAAAACTCCTGCGTTTTTTCTCTCTCCTCCTTCCTCTTTCATGCGTTATTTTCTCTCTCCTCATTCAATTTCTCTGTTTTCTACTCTCTTTCTCTCTGCTATTCTCTATGATTTTTCATCACTACTTCTTCAATCTTCATCAATTCTTCGTCAAGGTGAGTTATTGTTTATATTTTCGTGTTTTTAAATTACTTTTAGGTCACATTCAGTTACATTCATTGTTGATTTTCGTTTGATTTTCGCTGATTTCAGCTCACATTGTTTATTAATTTGTGTCGATTATGTTTTACTTTTTTTTTTCGTTGCTTTTAGTTTTATTTTCGTTTTTTTTAGTAGTTATCAAGTTTATTTTAGTTTTATTTTGCCTTATTTTCGTTATTTTCCAGTTTTTTCATTCTTTTGAAACCTAGAAATCATTGATAATTTGTGCTATTTTGTTGATTTTAGCTTGATTTTAGGTATTTTAATTTGATTTTTCAGTTTATTTTAGTTCTCAATTATGTTTTATTTTTTGGTTTTATCTTATTTTTTGTTTGATTTTAGCTTTATTTGAGTAATTATTAGTTGATTTTAGTTTTAATTTTGCTTCATTTGAGTAATTATCTTACATTTTCTTTGTTTTTTTTGGAGACCTAGAAGTAATTGCTATGGATTCTGCAAATGCAAATGTTGTTGAATCATCCCTAATTGTTCTTCAAGAAAATACAATGTATGTGTTTCTGCTCATTTAATTTTATTTTTTCATTTTATTTTTATTTGCTCATTTTATGTTTGTTGTTCAATAAAATACTTAGTGTTTAGTTTTATTTTTTATATTTTGTTGCATTTTTTTTTTTTGCTGAATTCCATATATTTTTTGCTACTGGAAGTATGATATTCAGTTTTGTTGGCTGTGATAGCTTGGCTGGACAGTAGGAATGAAATGAGTGTTTGGTTTTACTCAATGCTGTTATAAGGTTGGCATTTGTTAATATTGGGTTCCCATTAGTACATGATTCCGAGACCAAGCAATTAGATGAGGCTAATGAATTGCGGTTGATACTAATTATCCACAGTGAGTTTGATACATTGGCTGGACACCAGGAAGACGGGAATGTAAATTAGCTATGTAAGATAATAAGTTTGCTGCCAAATTTCTGTTCCTGCCTGTGTGATTGCTACTTTTCTAAGATTGAAAGGGATGTATGAGTCTAGTGTAGAGATATTGCAATGTTGGATAGCTATGTGACATTGCCACACAATGAATATTATATTGCTTATTTGGAGGAAAAAAAAAACATATTTAGAGATAGAGTTCTTTTAATATGGTAATTGTATAAAGATTTCCTAGCAAAATTGCATACAAATCCATTACCATTCCCACTA